TACTAATACTAATTTTTTTACCATGTAATTTAAGATTCCTAAAAATGTAGTATCTCCAACCCTGAAACTCTTCCAAGTTCCATTTCCAGCTGTTGACTAGGAACTTCTGTTTGGATAATACATTGAAATCTCCAATTAAACATCTAAACCAACATTTGTTTCTCATTCTCCCAATCTCCTTTATTATCTGCAAATCAATTCCCCTTTATTGGCTTACTGTTTTTCTTAAGGAGACCTGAATTTTCTTCTATTCACAAGACCCTCAGAGAAATCTATGACTCTAGTTACCAAAGCTAAATTTATTTAGTTGAAATTCTGTATAAATTTACACACACAAAGACACACACACAATGTGACCCACATCCTGTGATTTGTTATTATAGGTAAATTAGTTTTTCACTTTCTATCCTAAATTTCAAACTCTCAAGACAGAGGTCCAACTGAATGTACTTTTAATAATCCCCATTAGAAAAGACTCAATTTGTTAATTTGTCCTGATTAATGCTTTTTAAGATATCTGTAAAATACCATTAGTATTTTTCTTTGATAAGATAATTTCAGATAGATGATCATAAAATAACGTAATTGCTTTGGTTTCTTACCAGTTAGTATTCCTGGAGATCAATGATTGATAGGCTATTTTGAAAAAGTTTATGCCTGGAATTTCTTTTCTTCATTCTCCCTGCTCCTCCTCCAAATCTATTTAAGAGGTTAGACATATGTAGGTTTTCCTATTTCTATTAAAATTCCTTCTCAAAAATGAAATTTCAAATAAACTAGCATCATCGTGAAAAACATGATTAGCCTGCTCCATAGGCTCATATTTCTGTGAAAATGCTGCTTATCTCCATAGAATGAAGATGCCGGTGACTATACGTGTGTAGCTACCAATGAAGCTGGGGTAGTGGAGCGCAGCATGAGCTTGACTCTGCAAAGTAAGCTGCTTCATGAAACTAAACACTTGATTTAAGAAATATTACCTAATAAAGACTTCATTTTCTTGAAATCTGTAGCAAGTTCATTCGTGGTAGCTCCCAGAGTATGTCTAATTTAGTTTTCTGCTACTGATGGAGCATTTGTCATCAACTGTAAACTGATAACCCTTGTACAGATATTTTTTCTATTTTATCCAACATATGCAGTGTAAGATTGCAACTGATCAGTGGCAGAGCTTTTTTACTACAACACATTCAATGGAGCGCCCCTTCTTAAAGTTCACCACGGTTATTCCAACATGCTTACAAAGATGATTGAGATTTATGGCACTTTAAAATATTTATTAAAAATAAAGACTAATGTAAAGGAACTCAAAAGTGCTCCAGGTTGATGGCAGTAATCTTTCATGAAATAACTAAACGTTCTGGGTAAGAATCTCAGGCTCATCAGGAAGCCCTTCAGTGAGAATCACTGGAAAACAGAGTATTCGTAATTGGAAAAACGTGAAATACTCTAGTGAACAACCAGAGAGTTTACAGAAGCATTTAAGGGGCTGACCCAAAGACAATGTCATTGGGTTGAGAATTTGAGCAAGTCACAACTCAGAATTTAACAGAATGAATTTACATTTTCTTCCTTCACTATTGAGAGATGATCTACAGATTAGTTAAAACTAATTAGATTCGCTCTTAGTTAGCTGTTTGCTAAACTATATAATTCTCTAAGACTCAAATAGATTATAGACATTTAATAAGTATCTAAGACAGTGTTTCACTAAAGAACGTGTCTATCAAATGATAACATGGGATGTCATTAGGAAAACATAGGGTTCTCTGTTCAAATAAAGCTGAGAAAAAATGAATTAAACAGAGTTCATGTATTTATTAAGTATATAAAGAGCACTTACTGTGTGCTCAGCCCTCCTCCTTAGGCTACCAAATTTCTTTACTGCAGAAATGATAATAAGCTGATGTGAATTATGGCTCAAAAAAAGAACATGCCATATTTTCCCAATAAATATTGAGTGAATGTGGGTAGGATGCTACACAATCCACTGACCCGGTTTAAGAAAAGCTATATTCGAACAGCTCACCTGCACATACTGACAATAAATTCATTTTAATATGTGAGGCATATTAAATAATCAAAAATATAATTGCTTCAAATTAGGATTAAAGTATCAGAAACAATATTTTTAAAGTGTTTATATTTAATAATTACGTGAAGAAATTAATTCCATCGAAGTATGTACCTGTGGGATTTTATTACTGTATTAATTTATACTTTATATGCAGTTGGGAGTGTTCAACATGGTATCTAAATTAAGGCTCTGAGTTTGTTTGATACGTCGGCCTGTTGAAAATCCAGTTCAAGTCTCTTCTCCCCAAGGAAGTCTCTCACATTCTGTCATCTTTCTTGGCACTCTGGACCAATATAGACATAAACATTCTGCCAGCGGCTGCATGCAGTTCCTTTTACAGTCTTTCCAAGGACTCTACTGAGCCACTGTCATTTACTATCGACCCTGTTAACGTCTCCCTCCTTCCTTTCTGGTTGCCAGAATACCATTTTCTCCTGATTTTCTTCCTACCTCAGCGGTCGGGTCTGAGTATCATTTACGGGCTTGCCTTCTGTCCGTCTCTTAAATGATGCTGTTACAGGTGTTTGTCTTTGACCCTCTCCTCATCTTAGGCTCTCTTCTGAAGCAATCTTACTCACTGTGAAGGGCTCGCATATCCATATTTCCTGCTCATCTCTATTCTGAGCTCCAGCTATGAATATCCTCCTGTCATCTAGACATCTCTATATGAATATCTTACAGATACCTCAAACTCAGTAGTCCTGAATGGATCCAAGTTATCATTCCCTACTCTCTATCCACAAATCCATTCTCCTGTGGTATGCTATTGCATTGCCCAGTTACAGCATAGTGTCCAAATCAAAACCCTATAGTCGTCAGTTCTTCCCTTTAACCCATGCCAATCCGTAACAAAGCTCTATCATTTCTACTTTCTTCATAACTCTTGGATATGTCTTCCTTTCCCTCTCCATTTCCAATGGCATGCTTTTGATTGATCTATTGTTACTGTTGTTTATGCTCCCATATTAGTACACGTTAATCCTGTAGGTATGCTGTAGCACAAATCTATCTTATCAGTGGACTGTGAGCTCCTTGAGACTAACAATAATGTCTTCTCTCTCTCTATTCTCAGCACCTAGCACAATGCCTGGCAAGTAGCAGGTTTTCAATACATATTTATTGAATACATGAATGATGATGACCAGTAATAAGAGAATGAGTTAATTAGCTGGGCGTGGTGGTGGGTGCCTGTAATCCCAGCTTCTTGGGAGTCTGAGGCAGGAGAATCTCTTGAACCCAGGAGGCGGAGGTTGCAGTGAGCCAAGATCCCACCACTATACTCCAGCCTGGGTGACAGAGCGAGACTCCGTCTCAAAAAAAGAAAAATGAGTTAATGATGACTCTTTTTACCTCAAAAATGATCAAAAGAAAAACGTGAATATTCACCACATAAAACACAGACAAGAATAACAATAGTAACTAAGACTATTGTGAACAGTGTGCTTACCCTGTTCAAAAGTTGTACTCACACCCTCTTGTTGTGTCTGATGGGAATCCTCTGAGGTAGGCAGCATTTTTAATGGCACGGGGGCTCAGAAAGGTGGTAAGAAGCAGACGTAGAATTTGAATCCAGGAAGCATGACTGTAGAACCCATGCTATAGGCTAATCTGTTCAGGAATTCTAAATTTTTGACATTTGCTAAGGAATTGTGAAAATTGTATCAATGGCGACTACAATCTACCGTCTTAGTTGGGCAGCAAGTGTTTTTTAAATAAATCAATTTTGCAAAATTAATTTTTCAAAATTGTGTTACCATATAATATATGATAAAAAGTGTTGTGACTCCCCAAAAGCTGAGACACTATGTGCTTCTTTCCATAGGTCCTCCTATTATCACTCTTGAGCCAGTGGAAACTGTTATTAATGCCGGCGGCAAAGTCATACTGAATTGTCAGGCAACTGGAGAGCCTCAGCCAACCATTACGTGGTCCCGTCAGGGGCACTCTATTTCCTGGGATGAGCGAGTTAATGTGTTGTCCAACAACTCGTTATATATCGCCGATGCTCAGAAGGAAGATACCTCTGAATTTGAATGTGTTGCTCGAAACTTAATGGGTTCTGTCCTCGTCAGAGTGCCAGTCATAGTCCAGGGTGAGTGTGATCAGAGGAATATTCATAGTAAACAGCCCCTGGGGTGGCTCAACTCATGGAAATTATTAAACACTTTAGTCCAAGTCTCCTGTTCCTTAAGATACTTTTAGATGATGGGGAGAGGACAAAATCATCAAAATTTACAAATTGAAGGGCCTAAAGCTATACAGATTAGAGCTTTAAAATGCCAAGGTTCTAATTTAGAATCCCAAACAAAATTTTTGATTCACAGCTAAGTCAAATCTATTCTCAGAAATCAATGTGTATGTTTTGCTTTAAAGAATTACGTCCAAAGGTAAACAGTTTGTAAACTTACTGGTCACTACGTCTTCCAGCAGCCATGTGCAAGTGAGTGAGGACTAGGTCTGAGAAGAAACTCTAGTTAACTAGAGTTCTTCTCTCACTCTTGGATTTTAACTTTACCTTAAAGGAGAGCTTCCATAAGCTATTTCTCCACAACTATATATTTAGCTCTGTAACCAGCGTGTTATCTTAAATGAAATCTTTACAAGATTTATTTGCAAAAGCAAAGACAAAGTACCACGTTTTATTTGCAGTTCATGGTGGATTTTCACAGTGGTCTGCATGGAGAGCCTGCAGTGTCACCTGTGGGAAAGGCATCCAAAAGAGGAGTCGTCTGTGCAACCAGCCCCTTCCCGCCAATGGAGGGAAGCCCTGCCCAGGTTCAGATTTGGAAGTGCGAAACTGTCAAAATAAGCCGTGTCCAGGTACACCTCCTTATTTAACCGATAGGCATGTGTTTAGTAGACCTTCATGTCTGTTTTCCACCTATAGCTTGCCCCGGTGTTAATACTCTAACTTAAAACGTACCCGATGGTATAATGGTTTACTTTTGCATAGTGGATGGTAGCTGGTCGGAATGGAGTCCTTGGGAAGCATGCACAAGGAGCTGTGGACGTGGCAACCAGACCAGGAGCAGGACTTGCAATAATCCGTCAGCTCAGCACGGTGGGCGGCCATGTGAAGGGAATGCTGTGGAAATAATTATGTGCAACATTAGGCATTGCCCAGGTGAGAATGCACTGATAATACTAGGATAAGAAAAACTTTTCTATTTTAACTCCTATGAAATAATTATATTCACCCTTTCTTCTTCATTGTAAGAAGATGTTATGGCCTCTACCCTTGAGAATATGTTCGTTCACTATCACTATATTCTTAGTTCTCTTTCATGGATAAACTTGTAAAGGTATTCATCGACATTAAGCAAAATACTTGATTTAATTGAACATGAAGAAAGTCTCCAAACTAGAGTGTATTTTTCGAACCGTGTAAAGAAAACATTAAGTATTTACAAGGTCATAAAGTAACATCTAATCCAGCCATCCATTTCTAAGTGAGAAAAGTGAACCCTAGAGAGGTTAAGGACTTGCTCAGAAACACACATCTGTGAGGGGTAAATACTAATCGCTGTCATTCACTGAATACCTATCATACGATAGGAACCATGCTAGATGCTGCATATTGTTACAGACTTTCTATTTTAGCACTCTTTCAGGTTACAGTGACAAATCAAACAAGTCTAAGTAGAAAACTCTTCAGGTATTATTGCTTCCAAGAATTTGAACAATGCTTTTACTAGCATGTTTTCCATCTCTCATCCCTGCTTTCCTCTCTTTGGCTTTATTCTCTGTTATACTCTTTCCATGTGATGGAAAAAGTGACTGCTGACAGCCAGTGGCTCCCAGGGTATTATAATCTAAGTAAGGTCTCAGAGAAAAAGAGTTTCGTTGTCTCTCAGAATTCATATCAGTCCCTCGGAAAGAATGCTGTTTGCACTTTGTTTGGGTCACATGCTCACCCCTGAACTCAAATAGTCCAGGAGAAGGGTATTTTAATAGCCAGCTTGGGTGAGCTGCCTACCTAGTATAATGAGGGGCAGAGAAAGAAATCATGCAAAGTAGAGGAGCCGTTAATTTATTTATTCATTAATTCACACAACAAATATTTATTGAATGCTTACTCTGTCGTCAAGGCATTGTTCTAGTTGCTAGACTTAAAATGATCAACAGTATCTTTCCAGTGTTGATCAACACGCCCAAAAAACTCAGAGAGTTGAAATGATGGAGTACAACTTGGAGACCTATCTTAGCTGGACTGGTCAGAAAAAGAAATACACAAACCGAAAAGGGACAGGTATTCAGTACATTGGGTATTGTATCCTATTGTGCAGATGAGGAAAGATTTAGAAAATAATATTCAGTATTATGTATGTACCTATGCAACAACCCTGCATGACCTGCACATGTACCCCAGACCCTAAAGTAAAATAGAAAAGAAAAAAAGAAAATGATATTCAGTAATTGACTAAGGATAGATAGTTAATAAAAAGTGAATCAAAGATTTGAACCCAGATTGATCTAATTACCAAGCTTATTTAAATTGTAGGTATCTGGATTTGCAATTCAGAACTTTGATTACATTACAAACACAAAGTACTGTCCTGACATCTTAAACAAGAAACCATTTATTTTAGTCTTAAAGAATTTAAAAGCCGGTTGTAATAACATGATGTTCTAAATTTAAAAGAGCAGAAAATACTTAATCAGAGCAATTTTTGTGTAATTTGTCATCTATAACAACTATATAATAACTAAATGATATTTGTAAATATCCTAAAAGCCAGTTTTTTCTCTTCTTGTTGAGTAACTATTTGCTTAATGTCTGCTTGCTTATTTACTGTTGTTTTGTTCACTATTCTTTTGGCTTTTTTTTTAGGCTTTCTCTAGTTGTTTCTCCCAGCCCCTAAACCAATTGAATTTAGCTATTGTTTGAGCATAATGGTGGTGGTGTCCTGGAGCAATTCAATGAGAGCATGTGTATGAGTTTGTGATGCCATACTAATAGGTAAATATCAGCTGCAGTAGGACTATCTATACCACAACAATCAGCAGATGCTACAAGTCAGTTTTCCTCCCCACCCCCTAGAGAGTTGGTTGCTAAACATTTCTCAGCTCACCACTGCAAAATGGGTAGCCAGCCTAAGACAGCCTTTCTCATCCAGAAGGTATGTGAAAATCTAAGGGGCAGAAGATACTTGCTTTCAGTACAATTTATTTTTAACAATGTTGAACTTCTAAAAGGGTTGTAAGAACAGTACAGATAATTTCTATATAACACTGTCAAGTGAAATTTTGTGTATTTCCCAAAACAAGGACATTCTCTTTCATGAACATAGTACAGTGATCAAAACTGGGAAATTTGATATTGATGCTATTATCTGAATTCATTATCTAATCCACAGTCCATATTCAGATTTTGTCAGTTGCCCCAGTAATATCCTTTATAACTCTTGTTTTCCCCATTCCGAGAACCAATCCAGGATCACACTCTCACTTATTTGTTGTGTCTCTTCAGTCTCATTTAGTTGGAACATTTTCTCAGTCTTCTGTCGTGACCTTAATGTTTTTGAATGTACAGGCCAACCCCATCATAGCAGACAGTTTCACTTGGGTTTGTCTAACGTTTCCTCATGATTACACGCAGGTTTTGCGTTTTGGCAGGAACACCGCAGAAATGGTTTTGTCCTTCTCAGTGCATCATTCAGAAGGAACATATGTCAGTTTGTCCCATACTGGCGGTGTTAACTTTCTTCACTTGTTAAAGGTGGGGTCTGTCATTGTACAGTTCCTAGTTTTGCTTGTATTATTACTAAGTATTTTGTAGGGAAACTTGGAGACTATATAAACATCTTATCAACCTTTCACACTAGTTTTCGCATCCATTTCTGATTTCTGCTTCAATCAGTTATTACTGTGACTTTTGCAAAGTAGCTGTTTCCAACTCATCATTATCTTCCATAGCTGTTATTGACTTCTACTGTAAGGAACTTTCTCATCTCTTTACTTTTTATATCAATAAGAATTCAGGTATTATGTAATGGTATGATACTCTGGTATCATTCGGTGGTTTATCACAGTGGAACCCAACCTTTTTGGCACCAGGGAAAGGCTTTGTGGAAGACAGTTTTTCCACAGACTGAGGGGTGGGGGGATGGTTTCAGGATAATTCAAGCACATTATGTTTATTGTGCATTTTTATATATAATGAAATAATCACACACCATAATGTAGAATCACTGTAAATCCTGAGCTTGTTTTCCTGCAACTAGAGCGTCCTTTCTGGGGTTGATGGGGGACAGTGACAGATCATCAGGCATTAGATTCTCATAAGGAGCAACATAACCTAGATCCCTCACATGCACGGTTCCCAATAGGATTCGTGCTCCTATGAGAATCTAATGCCACTGCTGATCTGACAGGAGGGGGAGCTTTTGTGGTAATGTGAGTGATGGGGAGTAGCTGTAAATACAGACGAAGCTTTGCTCACTTGCCAAGCGATCCATGGCCCATGGGATTGAGGACCCCCTGTTTATCATAGACTGTCATTATTTATCATGGTGTTCACATTATCCTAGAATAGGTTAGTGGAGGTGGCCCGTCCCGGCTGGTTTCAGTGTTCTCTTAGATGTCCTCATGATTCTTTGAGTACTTCCTTACTTTCTGGTTACTTCAAACTTATTTTGTACTTTCCCTGCCCCAGTTAGAAGAGTGTTTTTAAACTGCAAATCTTTTTTAAGATTGATATATTCAGGGAGGGCCTAGCCTGACATTTGAGAATCATTGTCATTAAAATACATATATACTTACAAATTAAAGAACGAACATTTTTTCAAGTGTTGAACTCTGAGCAAAGCTCCTAGCTTACACTTACATAGGATTTACTACCTGTCCTGCACTGTTCCAAGCAGCTTTCTTCTATGAACTCCTTATTGCTCACCTCAACTCTAATAAATTATCTTTTATTTGCATGTTGCAGATGATGAGACTAGGCACACAGAAGCCAAGTCACTTGTCAGGATGGCATGGCCTGTAAGGGCAGAATAGTTATTCAGGCCCAGAATGTCTGCCTGGAAACTCCACTCCTAGCATTGTGCTCCTCTACCCTTCCGTAATTAAAACCACAAAGTAGTGTAACAACAAATTCAAGTGATAATATTTTGCATTTTTCTTCCCTACTAATCCCTCTGTACTTTTTTAAAAAATATTTTAACTTTCATTTTAGTTTCAGGGGTACATGTTCAGGTTTGTTATGTAAGTAAACTCCTGACTCAGGGGTTTGATGTACAGATTATTCGTCACCTGCATACTAAGCATAGTATCCAACAGTTTTTTTTTTTCCTAAACCTCTTCTTCCTTCCACCCTCCTGCCTCAAGTGGGCCCCAGTGTTTGTAGTTCTCCTCTTTCTGTCTATGTGTTCTCATTATTTAGCTCCCACTTATAAGTGAGAACACGTGGCATTTGGTTTTCTGTTCCTGAGTTAGTTTGCTAAGGATAATGACCTTCAGTTCCATCCGTTTCTGCAAAGGATGTCATTCTTTTTCGTGGCTGCATAGTATTCCATGGTGTATATGTAGCATGTTTTCTTTATCCAGTGTACAACTGTTGGGTGTTTTGGTTGCTTCTGTCTTTGCTATTGCAAATAGTGTTTAGTGAACACACACATGCATGTGTCTTTATGGTAGAACAATTTATATTGCCTTGGGCTTTTATATCCATAGTGGGATTACTGGGATGAATCGTAGTTCTGTTTTTAGTTCTTGTTTTTTTCTGTCTAGATAGCATGATGTTTTATGCCTTCTCCAGTTTATATTACCATTCTTCCTTTTTTCTTGCTATCATTGCATTTTTATAAAAGAAACACTTGAACTCCCCAACATTATATGTCTTGAAGTCCAATTCTAGTTAAGATTTTCCACATTGGTTAAAAAATAAAAATAAAAAGGCCTTTAGCTGCAAACTTATATTTATATGTAATAGAAATGACACAGATCTTAAATGAACGAATGTTACCCAATTATTAATCCTCCAGTTAAAAATGCATCTATATTAAATGGCATTATATGGTAAGAGGTTGGGGCTCTTGTTAGCCAACAGCCTTGAAAATAAAATACATAGAAATAATTGGAACT